TATATAGGTTAGGTGCTTAGGTTCAGTTGGCGATTATTTGTATTTGTAGTACGTGGGTGAAGCATTTACAGTGTTGTGGTTCGAACAAAAATTCGTCAGTGAAGCACTTGTTCCGGAAGTGATCGAACGTCATCAGTTGTGAGTCGTGTGTAAACCGTTTTTCATTCATAAACAGCAGGGGTTTGGCGGGTGTATGGAATCTTTTTGGGATCTTTGTTTGGAGGACGGGCTGTGTTACACACGACTCGCAACTGATTTCGTTCGAACACTTCCGGAACAAGTGCTTCATTGACGAATTTTATTCGAACCACAACACTGTAAATGCTTCACCCACGTACTACAAATACAAATAATCGCTAACAGAACCTAAACACCTAACCTAACCTAACCTATATATATGCACAATATGCTAATATATTATAATATTAATTTATATTTGAGAAAATTCCCGTTTTGAATGAACAACATGTTAATTAAAATCTATGAATGCGTCTGTGGGGTCGACCGCTGGATGGAATGGACTTGAGTCGTGGACGGGTTGATGGCATCAAACAAACGATCTTACAACTATAATAAGTTGTACAATATTAAGTAAATACTGAATTAATATAATTGAAAAATAAATTCTAATTATCGCTGAGAATACACTGGCAGGAATTTTTAATAATATAGAATTTACTTTATATGAGATTTTTATATATAAATTTATATTAATATTAAATTATATATCATTTTAGAGCTCCATATTTTGGCATGCATTCTCATTGATGACTATATTTATATACAAATGTATATATCAAAGTATATTACATTTTTACTTATGAAATATATTTCAAAACATAAAAAAAAATCAAATTAGAATAAAAACTACTGTTTAAAATATTATTTAAATTTTAATCAATAATATCATCCAAAAAATAAAATACACTTATAATAAAAAATAAACAGTATTATGCAAAACAATAATAAAAAAATATAAAATATAATCTAAAGTATAATATCAAATATAATATAAATCATACTCCCAAAAATCAAAGAATGATATAATATTGATTTTAAAATATAATCATATATATATACGAGTACAGATTCATTGAAAATTATGTGAGCTTTTCCAACCTGTAACCGAATCAATGATTATATATATATATGTATATATATATATATATATATATATATATATATATATATATATATATATATATATATATATATTTGACATAAACGAAATATTGAAAACATAAATATAATTGAAAATATAAATTGAAAATTAATATATCCCGGAGCTTAGATAAATCGCAAGTAGAAAAAATAATTAGCATTAATGCAAATAATTTCAGGGCTGCCTCCTATTTTGCATGCTTTGAGAAAATCAGTGAAATTGAAATTTCACTGATTTTATTTATATAATTTTATTATAATTTCATATAAATTGTTTTGTTCATTAGATTTTTAATACATATTTAAAACATACTGTTTTTGAATTAATAAAAATCGAAAAATTGGTCAATAGCCTCAAACCTCCATGGCATAAGGGATGAATGAAAGTCTTATGCAATTTTAAGAAATTTAAATTACTTTTGAGGTTTACTTTTCAATTGATATTATCTATTTTGTTTAAATTAAAAGTGTAAAATTTCATATATATATATATTATTATTATTTAACGACTATAAAAGTAGTTAAAATAAATTACTTTATAAATTTCAAAATACTCAGCAATCCATTAAGAACGACACATGGACATATTCTTCGAAAACTTAAAAATTCTTGCCAAAATGTGTCCGATTATTTGTTAGTTGCTTCATAAATAAAATACCAAATATGAAATGAAAACGCCACAATATTCTGCCGAAGTTTTGTTTGATTCTAATAAATTCTATAAAACTGGTTTCTAATCCCATCAAAGTTTCTTAGATTCTATAAACTTCTGTAAGCAACGTCTCATTAATCAGAACTAAAAAAACCAGTCAGCAAAAGTAATTATCTGATAATTCCTCTCAAAAGTTCCATTAACTGCAGGCGATGAGTCACAATAACGTGGCTGAAGTATGTTGACCAGACCACACACTAGAAGTTGAAGGGACGACGACGTTTCGACGACAATCGACTTGAGAATGGTCCAGGACGGACCTAAACGTCGTCGTCCCTTCAACTTCCATTAACTCTTGGCTGTCCCCACATTTCCATCCAGTCTTAGAAATTCTTTACATTACAGTACACCATAAAAATCCCCTTTATGGTTAAAAAACGACACGATGTTACTCACAGTAAATAGAATCATAGTCTTCTCTCTATCTCAAGTCCTGGATTCACCAAATTAGGTCTGGGTTACATTTTTTAATTTTTCATCTGGAAGGCGTAAATTTTGTTAAAGATTATTTTACGCAAATACAAAACGCCAATGTCATTTAAATAATTTTTTTTATCACATAGTTTGCAAAGGGTTCTCTACTTGAATTACAAAGTGGTAACTCTCTGAAAACTGCACTCACAGACACTCACACTCTCAGACACACTCTCACACACACTCACAATCACACTCTCACAATTACCTACACCAATTACGGCCGCTAATTCGTAAACTCTCTGATGTTAAGCCACATTAACGCACTTTAAATGTCCACAGCATTTTATTGTGGATTTTTTTGTTTTCAAAACATCGTTCAAAGTTTTTTTTTTCTCAAAGCATCGTTCTTCCTATTCTGGCAAACTGAGCAATGCTTTATCAACAAAGCACAAACTAGACAAAAACTTTACTGCTAACAAAATAAAAGCTCTTTACTGAATGACACATTTTCACCACTGGAAGATTTATATATATATATATATATATATATATATATATATATATATATATATATATATATATATATATATATATATATATATATATATATATATATATGACATGCCTTATTCTAATTCTAATTAAAATAGTCCATTCTTTGGAAACTTTATCCTGGATCTAATCCACTTAAAAAAAGCTGCTTTTCAAAAAGTTTCATTTAAATAAACAAGTTTTAGTTCATCCACACGCAACACCTCGTCGCGAGTCATATTAGGCTGGAGAAGTATGATCCAGTTCTAAATTAATTTTTTGTTTAACTCGAAGCGCGTTATACATTTTTTTTTAAAACTTTGCAGTGAAAACAACGACTTCTTATTCGTAGCATCTAAATATATGACTTGTAATTTTTCCATTCTAAACATTGAAAATATGATTTACGTTAAATTAACAGTCCGAGCCGTATTCCAGTCAAATCCATCAAGTTTCCCTTCCCCCCCTCCCCACAATCTCCTCCAAACAAAAAGCCCCCTTCCCCTAAAAAAGCCCCCCCACCCTCCAAAAATCCTACAAAAAACTACTTGAGGACTACATGTAGTCCTCAAGGCTTAAGAATGCACTCACAAACGAACGACTTACAGCTAATTATGTTCGAAGCTTTTCTCGACACCTGTTTCACTCACGGCACACGTTCGAACCTCGTCCACTAAAGCTGCATTACTAAAAAAAGTGCTCTTCTCAAGCACACTTAACCTAGGCCTATGTACAGAATTGCTAATATACAATAATTATAAATTGTGTGTGATCTTATGTAATGTTTTGTTACACGTGTGACAAATGTTATTAAGGTATGTTACGCCCGTGGGAACGACGGCCGGATTGAAACATTTACCACAAGGCCGGTCTTCTCAGTCATGCCGTTTGGGCTCACGACGAGTTATGTGAATTGATACACACCACACGAAGCGTATGAATCCATACGATTCATACTAACCACACGAAGCGTATGAATCCATACGATTCATACAAACCACACGGAGCGTATGAAATCCATACAAACCACACGAAGCGTATGAATCCATACGATTCATTACAAACTACACGAAGCATATGAATCCATATGATTCATTGAAACCACACGAAGCGTATGAATCCATACGATTCATAGAAACCGCACAAAGCGTATGAATCCATTCGATTCATAGAAACCACACGAAGCGTATGAATCCATAGGAGTCATACAAACCACACGAAGCGTATGAATCCATACGATTCATACAAACCACACGAAGCGTATGAATCCATACGATTCATACAAACCACGCGAAGCGTATGAATCCATACGATTCACATAAACCACACGAAGCGTATGAATCCATATGATTCACATAAACCACACGAAGCGTATGAATCCATATGATTCATACTAATCACACAAAGCGTATGAATCCATACGATTCATTACAAACCACACGACGCGTATGAATCCATACGATTCATAGAAACCACACGAAGCGTATGAATCCATATGATTCACATAAACCACACGAAGCGTATGAATCCATATGATTCATACTAATCACACAAAGCGTATGAATCCATACGATTCATTACAAACCACACGACGCGTATGAATCCATACGATTCATAGAAACCACACGAAGCATATGAATCCATACGATTCATACAAATCACACGAACCCATACAAATCACTAATATTACACTAGTTCTGAGATCGAAGTGCGCGATTCACTACATATATACAACACCAATTTTTAAGCTCGAAATATTTGGAAAAGTTATTTTCATACGTGGCTTTAAGAAGCGAGAAATTTCAACCACTATCCAACAAAGGGATTACATCTCAAAACATATAACCTACTGTATATTACAGTGTCCACGTTCGAAACACGTGTATCATTGTTCCAACACATGTTTCAACCTCCTCAACCACATGTATCACTATGCAAAAACATGTAGCATTCTTTCCTAACATGCGCATCTGTATAGCAAGTTTTCGTTTCACTTTTCGAAGAGAATCTGTCACTTAGAATTCCAAGTTTAAAATACTACTTGGACACAAATGCCCCAAATGCCTTGGACACTAAAACACCTGTGTTCAGTACCTGTACACAATGGTACTACACCTGTTCACAATAAACAAATACAGGTGTGAGTTAAGTTCAGACGGAAATACCTGAGATCAGCTGATTTGTTTTGGGGGAGGGGGGAGGGTTGAGAACATTGGTTTCTTGTCTCTTGTCATGGGTTGGCATGCTCTTTTGAAGGTTTCGAACACTCATTCGGTGTTCGGTTTGGGCAATTTGTACACTGGTTCATGCGTTCAGTTAGTCTTCGAACACGGGTTCGAACACGGGTTTCCGAACATGTGCCCACACATTCGGCCATGGGTTTCAGACAGTTTTTTTTTTTATTTGTGTTGATAAATAGCAACACTTTTGTGCATTTGGACACCGCAATATTGCTCCAGAAACCTGGCGCTCCGCTTCCGACTGGTGCATTTGGGATCAAACGATTGGGCACAAAATTGCTATCACCTGTCCTGAGACATTAGGTTCTTGTACGAAAACGCAGTAAAACATTTGCTTTAAGCATCTGTGTTTATGCAATGGCGTTTGCGTGACGCATTTGTAAAACCGCATCAAATTTTGCTTCATTTGTATTCATCACATTTGAGGCATCTATTTTCAGGTTATTTTTAAAGGTGCACTTGTATTAAGCGATCGTTTTATATCTTAATGGTTACTTGCTAGTTTAACACACTGACACTGTATGATTCACAGTCACTTGTTTCCATGTGGATTTCCCGTTTTCACCTGACTTTGTCTCCCCCATTTTCTATTTCTTCCCGCTTTCACGTGATTTTGTCTCCCCCATTTTCTATTTTATCCCGCTTTCACATGATTTTGTCTCCCCCATTTTCTATTTTATCCCGCTTTCACATGACTTTGTCTCCCCATTTTCTATTTCTTCCCGCTTTCACATGACTTTGTCTCCCCCATTTTCTATTTCTTCCCGTTTTCACATGACTTTGTCTCCCCATTTTCTATTTCTTCCCGCTTTCACGTGATTTTGTCTCCCCCCATTTTCTATTTTATCCCGCTTTCACATGACTTTGTCTTCCCCATTTTCTATTTCTTCCCGCTTTCACGTGATTTTGTCTCCCCCATTTTCTATTTCTTCCCGCTTTTACATGACTTTGTCTCCTCCATTTTCTATTTCTTCCCGCTTTCACGTGATTTTGTCTCCCCCATTTTCTATTTCTTCCCGCTTTTACATGACTTTGTCTCCCCATTTTCTATTTCTTCCCGCTTTCACGTGATTTTGTCTCCCCCATTTTCTATTTCTTCCCGCTTTTACATGACTTTGTCTCCCCATTTTCTATTTCTTCCCGCTTTCACGTGATTTTGTCTCCCCCATTTTCTATTTCTTCCCGCTTTTACATGACTTTGTCTCCCCATTTTCTATTTCTTCCCGCTTTCTGTGTTTGCGTTTATCTTCCTATTTTCTCTTCCCACATCCCCCACGTTATAATTTTAGTGAATCATGAAGACGAACACAAACTCACTTAAAAAGTTATTCGCGTGTTTCCAAGGTCATTCAGTTACCTTTCTGACGCAAACTACTGGTTCGTGTTCATCATATTGGTCATTTGAGATTCGTAAATAAAGTTACTCATTTGTTTTAGTGTAACTTTGGAGTTTCTTTGAAGTTTTAGCCATGAAACACCTTTTTTTATTTTTTATTGTTATTATTCTGCTAAACTTTCGGACATTTTTACCAAATATTCACTTTTGAAAGTTTGTAGTTCTATTCATTTTATATGTTCCATTGCATTTTAATTTGTAGGTTCCCTCACAATTTCATTCATTTGCAAGTTACTTCACTTCTCTTTTCAGGGCACTTTATAATTTCATTCACTCGTACGAGGACCTTCACCTCTTCATTCACTAGAACAAGGACATTCACTAGTACAATGACCTTCACCTCTTCATTCACAAAAAGCATCATTGAACGAGTTCATTCGGGACTTCACGCTCAAACTTTTCTTTCACGAATGAATAAAAATAGATCAATAACAACCTAGAGTCTCTTCATTTCTTCACTAGTCCTTTCTTTACACTTACATCACAAACGCTTCATTTAACAATAACCCCGAGAGACCTCACGGACTTTCCCTCACTGTTGTACACATTGGGATGAAATGGGGGAAGGAAGGCAAGATAGATGACGAGGATTAATAGGGATTAATGGGTGAAAATTGGAAGGTAATATGAGGATTGTAAGGGAGGGAGGGTATGATGAAAAGGTACACAGTTGAGAAAGGCATAAAGAGGATATAAACGATAATCAATGATATAGAGAATTCTATATCATTGTGGAGACACACACACACACACACACACACACACACACACACACACACACACACACACACAACACACACACACACACACAATGGGCGCATCCGATCCCATGATCGTCGTCGCCCCTAAATCAACACAACAACACACACACACACACACACACACCAGTTGGGGTGTCTGGTAGCTGAGTGCACAGCGCGCAGGACTCGTAATTCTGTGGAACGGGTTCGATTCCCGCACCAGGTAGAAACAAATGGGCAAAAGTTTCTTTCAACCCAGATGCCCCTGCTACCTAGCAGTAAATAGGTGCCTGGGAGTTAGACAGCTGTTACGGAGCTGCTTCCTGGGGGGGGGGGGAGGGGGGTGTATGTGTGTGGGAAAAAGAAGTTAGTTAGACGTTAGTTACAGTTGATTGATTGACAGTTGAGAGGCGGGCCGAAAGAGCAGAGCTCAACCCCCGCAAGCACAACTAGGTGAATACAAACACACACACACACTCTCTCTCTCTCTCTCTCTCTCGCACTCACACATACACACACACACACACACACACACACACACACTCTCTCTCACGCACACACACACACACACACACACACACACACACGTCTCCGTTTCCTAAAAACAATTACATAGCAAAATCAAAAACTCTTCACAACTTTCATACTTCCCCACCATCTCCTGTATTTAACATTCCTGCCGACATAACAGCACGAGAAGAGTTATGTGTGAAGTCATCAATCATCCTCATCTGGGGAAGAGAACTCATCAATTAACAATGTATCTTCAATCGTGTGTCCTAACGTGTTGGTCGTTGTGGTATAAGGAATACCACTCAACTCTCTACTCTGAACAGTAGAGAGTTGAGAGCCAAGGAGGCAACCATCTTGTAAGACTCGCTTGTTACCTTGAGGTTGACAAATTACTCATCTCTCGTGAGTAACGTAATAACTCATCCCCTCACGGTCAATACCTGGAGACTTAACGATATGAGTAAATAGCTTCCAACAAATATGTATGATTATCTTTATCTTAAATTTTTTTTACTAAATCGACCCCATCTTTGCTCAAAGTGAAGGACCGTTCTTACACGACATTGTGCCGAGAAGAGCCTCGACTTTCAAGGCCAAGGAAGTAGTTGACTCTAGTTCCAAGTCTTTACTCAAGTGTAAGGTGCTCGAAGGTTTGCAATACAGTGAACCAAATTCCAGGCTCGGACGCTAGTGAATACAATCCCAGGATCCCAAATCCGGCGAATACAATTCCAAAATCGCGCTAGTGAAAACCTTTACATGTTACTTCGAAAGTCGGAGTATTTCCAGTCCTATTAAGGAAGAGCAGTTCAAGTTGTTCTCAGTTGAGAGTTGTTCCAGCTGGCTGTTCCAGTGGATTTAAGAACACAGGCTGTTGAGAGACGGGTCCAGCCAATCCGAGACGGTCAGGCCAACGTCGCAGAGAGCATCAGCTACATCCGGGGTGCAGGAGAACTCGAAGTGCGACCCCGAGGCTGAGGTGGTGGTCGAGGAGGAGCAGGACTCGAGGTCCAGCTCAGGAGTCAGGTCCAGATCCACTGGAAACTCGGGCGACATCTGAAGGACAAATAAGAAAGGGGGTTCATGCATGCGATGAGTCACAATAACGTGGCTGAAGTATGTTGACCAGACCACACACTAGAAGGTGAAGGGACGACGACGACGTTTCGGTCCGTCCTGGACCATTCTCAAGTCGATTGTGAGAATGATCGACTTGAGAACGGTCCAGGACGGACCGAAACGTCGTCGTCCCTTCACCTTCTAGTGTGTGGTCTGGTCAACAAAGCGGTTTATGCCACTACTAAATTCAGAGAACAACTCAAGGTGACTTCGGGAAGTCAAGTTAAGGGGAAATGAGTGACATGTGAGAGAGGAGGATATGTAGAGGGGAGTTCACTGTGGGAGGGTAGAGGGGACTGTTAACTAAGCTTTAAGGACTGTCTCCCCTCGCGTCCAAATGCTTCCCTCACTCCCTCCATCTCGTTATACCAGTTTCCCCTTCTCTTCCCCTTCTCTCTCTCTCTCTCTCTCTCTCTCTCTCTCTCACACACACACACACAATCTATATCTGCCTCCCTCTATGTGTCTATCTCTCGCACACCCTCTCTTTATCTCTCTCTCTCACCCTCACTTTATCTCTCTCGGTTTCCTCACTTTATCTCTCTCGCTTTCCTCACTTTATCTCTCTCTCGCTTTCCTCACTTTATCTCTCTCTCGCTTCTCTCACTTTATCTCTCTCTCTCGCTTCTCTCTATCTCTCAGTTCATCACTAGAGTCACAGCCAACTCACCCTAAGTATATCTGCCAAGTAGGAGAGATCGCCCAATGAATCATGACTGGCTCTAGTGGGCGTGGTAGCCACGGGTTCTGGCGAGGGCGTGGGCGTGTCCAGCACGGAACAACAGCTCAGAAGAGCCCCGCTGAAGCCCGCGGTGGGTGTGGGCGTGTGGGCGTCCGTGTCATCATCCAGGAAGAACACCGAGGACTCAGGAGACCCCGGCGATAGACAGGCTGGAGACGGGGGCGTAGGTGGAGTGAAGAAACTTTTGGAAAGGGCCTTGGAGACCTTAGAGACTCTTCCCTGAGATACTTTGCCGCCCCGGGAGATTTTCCTGCCCCTTCTGCTACCGTGCTCCTTAACGGTGGGGTTACTTGCCCGTCTCTTGGGGCCTTTGGGGCTTGGAGAACCTTTCTTGCTGGTGACTTCGATGTCCTGGCACGCGTTGAGTCCTCGCTTTTTCTTCGCGGCAGCGTCCTGCGCGGCTCTCGGGAGCGTCGAGACGGTGATCCGGAGACGCGTCGAGGACAGGAGTTTGACGGCGGGGCGTCGCTTGCGACGAGGCGCCGCGTAGAGCGGGCAACCTCCTGGAGGTGGCGTGCGGGTACACGCCTCTCCACGCCCAGACACGCAGCTGGGGACCAGCCGCGCCTTCTTCCGTGGTCGGTACTGTAGGAGGAACACGAGAAAAGAGATTTATTACTGGAGAACAGATTATTGTGTTACTGAAGAACAGATTAATGTGTTACTGAAGAACAGATAAATCTACTATTCACCACAGGGAATGTTATCAGTGAACAAAACGTAGTCACAAAAGAACAGGAACTACCACAGAACAGAGGCCAAGGAACATAAATCAGTTAGGAGGTCTACACAAAGGTACACTGCTAACTGAAGGTCTACACAAAGGTACACTGCTAACTGAAGGTCTACACAAAGGTACACTGCTCAGTATCGTGAAGGTCCTGTGCACCATCTGGGAGGTTTAGAGACACAGTACTGTGCAGCATCAGTAAGAGGATCACGGGGATGCACTCACAGTACTGTGCAGCATCAGTAAGAGGATCACGGGGATGCACTCACAGTACTGTGCAGCATCAGTAAGAGGATCACGGGGATGCACTCACAGTACTGTGCAGCATCAGTAAGAGGAT